ACCCTTCCTTTGCCATGTTACTTTTCGTTCGGGACTATTGGGAGTCTTGACATTCGTTTGATCAGTTTGTCTTTTCCCCTTGGGACAATTCCTCGAAAAATGTCCCACCTCACCACATGAATAACAGGTCATGGGTGACTTTGCCGGTGCAAAATTTTTCGGCTCTATCTGCTTACTTACTTTTCGACAGTCCTTAATCTGCTTTGCACTGTCAGAAGAACCTTGGTCATTTCTTCTGAATTTGTACTCTTTTGCAGTGCGTACTAGCTCGTTTAACGAATAAGAACGGCGATTTTCCAGATACTCACGTAACGGAAGAGGCATCTGGGCAATTACACATTGTATAATATGATGGCATTTCAGGACATACAGAAGACATTTCCATAAAACCAAAAAATTTGTATCAAAACTCATTACTAATGGCACTTTTGGTAGGGCAAGCAACAAGCATTTCATTTGTACAAGACACTCATGCTATCAGAGACCTTAGCGATGTAAGAGATACTGTTGAAGATAATGATGAACAGTGTGTTCAATGGCCAACTACAATTGATCCTCTGTAATACTTCTCACATGTAGTGTGATGATGTTTTTTAAGGCTGCCACATTTGCAACATATCCTCAATAAACCACACTTTTTAAATGTCCTCAAAACCAAAATTCATACAGATTAAGAGGCAGAGAATGAGTTGACTAGTTGGGAGGAAATATATGACTAATGAATTTGTTATTGGTTAAGTATTATTACAGAAATTACTGTATGCAGTGTTCAATGTATGGAAATACTTCATCTTGCTTAAAAATGTTTGATTCAAGATATTGTCACTATTGCAATTGGGGTTTGAAAAAGTGTTGAGCATCTCTTAGTATATCTGAGATTTCATAGAACATGTCAGAGACTCATTGGGACTAGCTTCTTTAAAGCAGAATGCTCCAATGATAAATTGGCTGTGAATCCACACCATACTAACTTTAGGCAAATGTAGGCAAGCATAAGGGTTTTCCATGTTCCAAATGTACCAATGTAAAACGGTGAACACCAAATGTTGATGTTCACCATTTTACTGAAGTGAAAATATGCCTAGTCACGCCACAGGATCTTCCATTGCCACAACACATCTACTTCCACTTTGGCATGGAAGTGGATGTGTTGGTCAGGGTTTCTCAGCAGCAAGAAACTGCTAGTTATGATTGATTTTATACAGCTAACAGTGCATTAACTTTCTCAGTACCTTCTACACTGTGCCTTAGGTTACACCTAACTGCCATGACACTGCACAATTGCTCATGCACTACTGGAACCTGCAACATTATTTATTGACTATTCAATAGCTGTGATAATATTTTGACTTGTATCAATGACTTGTAAACTGATAAGATTGTTTTGATTGAGTCTAACTCCCAGGCATTAGTTTTTTTGAATCAAGTGAGCATTCTCTTTAGAACTTATGATGGTCAATGGTTTTCAATGTAAATTCTTAAGACAGTAAAATTTTCAAAGTACAGCCACAGCAATGCTGTTATTTTCATAAAACAGTTTCACAAGATATATATATTTTGGCAAGATAATAGACATTATAGTTGATAAGAATAACATTTAACAGTTGTGACCACTTTTATACCAGAACTTGTTGCAACATGAATACTTATGAAAACTTATTAAAGAAAACTTCTTTTTCATTACTTGCAGTGCCAAAATTGCCATAATAATGAGTTTTTTAAGTAGATATCTTTTATATATCCTGAAATGTCACCATACCAGATTTGATGACATTTGGACTGCTAAATATTTTTCTAAACAGTGTTCAATAGAGGTACTTTAATTATAATCACCTGTCTGCATACTTATATTTTTTAATGCATATTTCATAAATTTTTTTCATTATTTTATATTTTTAATATGTATGTTATTGCTATTTGAAACTTTATTTTTAAATTTTATATGAAAAAATATAAATATTTTTTAAAAGTTGTTTTATTTTGTTATTTTAATGTTTGATTACTAATATTAATTATTTAATATTATTTTTGTTTCTATTTGTTAGCATTTGGTCAATTCTACTTTCTTATACATTTACTAAAAACAGTGAATATTAAATATATATAGAGTGAGTCAAGATTTTCTTGTACTCTTTTTATTCCAAAGGTACTGAAGATATATTAATTTTGTTGATGTAGTTACATAGGAAGTTATGCATGGAGAATCAGAGGGATTATTAACCTTGAAAATAATTTTCAAGGTAACTTATGTTGTAACTCTCTAACAAGCAGAGATAACATTTCAATAACAAAGTTAAAGAGCATCATTTAATTAGTCTAAAATCATTTTTCAGATCCCTAATCAGCATTGTGTAAACAGATGTTCAAGATATTAATTCTTTTTAAAAAATGAACTTTAAATTCATAAGGAGTAAAAATGATTTTGTTTTGTGACCTTGAAAATCATTTTCGAGGTCAGCAAAAAGGTTCCATCCAATTTTCCATGCATGACTTCTTATGTAACTATATTAACAAAATTAATATATCATCAATACTGTAGGAATGAAAAGGGTACAAAGGGTTTTTGATTCATCCTGTATAATTAAATATTTATTTCTAACATTGATTAAATTTAATTTATTGAATGAAGTAATAAATTAATTACAATAATAATTTTTAGAAATTTCATCAACAAATGTTAGATTTTCTTTTCAAACAAGAACTGCAAATTGAAGAGGCTGAAAACGAAGAGTTATTTTCTAATATAAAAAAATTAAAAAATATTCTTGAAGAACAAAAGAGAGTTGAGAAGGAACATCAAAGAGAGCTTCATCTTTTATATGAGTAAATAATTGATTAAAATATACTGTTTATAAATTTATATATTTTTTTCCATGTGTTTATTTAGAATTTTATATTTTACGCAATGGTTATATATATTTTTACACATATTTTGAATGAATTTCACCTTTAGTGATCTATGTTTTTCAAAATTTAATTCTTATTTATATTTCAGGTTTATAATTTATAAAATAATAACTCTTCTTTATTATTTAAATTAATAATTCCATATTGCATTAATATAGATTTCAAAGCAAATACAATATAACGCTTTAAATATAAATTAATAATAATCCTATATTTATATTGTTATTANGTATGAATATGAATTGTACAAAAAAAAAAAAAAAAAAAAAAGAAGGTTGCGTACGATATTGTTGGGAAAAATTAACAATTTACCTGGACAGTGAATCGATTCCCAGACTGTCCAGGTGGTAACACTATTCCATGCTCATTTTAATTGGTCCGAATCGTAGGTCCGACGAAATTATGAAATAAAATGGTTCAAATTTTTACAAGATATTATTATTATTTATTGTGAAATTTTGCCGCCCACACTACGCTACGCCACTGCCCTTAGTCCTTTTTCTATGCATTTGAAAATAATATCCAGAAGCCTATTTTTTTGCTTTTAGTTCTAAAGCATCAAATGAGTTTCTCAGTTTCATGTGTAATCAATGATATACATAAATTTGCACAAGTGTCAGGTTTTATATGCTTTTCTTGGAACAACTTACTTTTTTTTGAAACTGGCTTAAAATATAATTCCAGAGCTCTAACATGAACACAAACTCAAATTTTTCCAATTTTTCTTGAATTATTCCAGCTTCTCTTCTTGTTTCACTTTTTTTAACGATCACTATGTATCTTTTCTAAAGCACTATGTATCTTTTCTAAAGCTTTTTCTAAACAGTGAGTCTTAATTTGCTTCTATAGCTGAAATTGCATTTGTATGTGCCTCCCATCTGGTATCTGATAAGCATTTTATCAGAAGTGACTTTGATAAAATCTGTTTGAGGCAGGGGAAAAGTGTACTGTTTGTTGTAAGTAGCAATGAAATTGACAGCATCTAAGCAGCAATCCATGCAGCCTTAACTAGAACTTAGATTAATAATAATAATAATAACTACTTATAATTAAAAATCATATAAAATTTATCTAAAATAATTTAGATTACATATCTTTTGACTAATTAAATAGTAATAAAGAAATTAATATCTGATTTCTTAATTTCTGTGTACCTATTGAATAGTTTTATATTGAATTTTCCAATTGATTATAAAACTATTGTACTACACATTTTCATTATTTTATTTTGTGTTCAACTACTGTTTGTTTTATATTAAAAATGCTCATATTATTGTAAAGCTTAATAAATCTATTTCTACCTCAATAATTCTTTTAATGGACCTCAAAAATAAATTTTGCCTAGAACCTTGCAAATTCTAGGACCACCTCTTAGTATTAAGTAAAAAAAATTTCAGTATGGTATTCTGGACCTCCACAAACAGGCATGCAGGGTATGCACCACATGCAGTTGCCATTGTTAAGGGAGCACCAAAAGACATTCCTAATTAAGTATCTGATTTGAATTATGAAATGACAAAAAAAAATAGAACAAAACAATATGTCGAAATAGTAAAATTGCTACTTCCAATATTCCAACAAGAATGATAATTTTTTGGCAATGCTTTTGTAAACACAGCCAATATAAGTTACAGAGGATATTAAAAATCTAAAATTGGAAGAAAACTTTGAGTATAAAATTTTTCTCATGGTGGTAGCAAATCATTAACTTCTGATGATTTCCATCATTAATCTCCTTATGTCGTCCCTTAGTCAGTGGTGTAGCATGGGTGTCAGCCGCCCGGGGCAAAGGAAAATTTCACCGTCCCCTTATTTAGGTATCTCAATTTAAAAGACTAAAATTCAGTTTAGTCACAGAATAAGTAATGAAAAATTTCGTGCTAATGTTGCCACCGTTTTAAAATTGCTGACCCAGAGGGCAGGTGAGGTTTGTTCAAACAGAAGTTCCTGACGCATGTGTAATGTCATTTTGCAATGCGAAGAATAATGCGCAGTGCATGCCGGTTCGAAATCAGGTACAGCAGTTAGGGACTAGGGAGACTTAGATAGGAGTAACATAAGCAACCTAGATGACATAGACCTATTGGATATTGGAGATGTGTATGAATATGAATTGTACAAACAAAAAAAAAAAAAAAAAAGAAGGTTGCGTACGATATTGTTGGGAAAAATTAACAATTTACCTGGACAGNTCACAATTTAGAATTGTACAAAAAAAAAAAAAAAAAAAAAAGAAGGTTGCGTACGATATTGTTGGGAAAAATTAACAATTTACCTGGACAGTGAATCGATTCCCAGACTGTCCAGGTGGTAACACTATTCCATGCTCATTTTAATTGGTCCGAATCGTAGGTCCGACGAAATTATGAAATAAAATGGTTCAAATTTTTACAAGATATTATTATTATTTATTGTGAAATTTTGCCGCCCACACTACGCTACGCCACTGCCCTTAGTCCTTTTTCTATGCATTTGAAAATAATATCCAGAAGCCTATTTTTTTGCTTTTAGTTCTAAAGCATCAAATGAGTTTCTCAGTTTCATGTGTAATCAATGATATACATAAATTTGCACAAGTGTCAGGTTTTATATGCTTTTCTTGGAACAACTTACTTTTTTTTGAAACTGGCTTAAAATATAATTCCAGAGCTCTAACATGAACACAAACTCAAATTTTTCCAATTTTTCTTGAATTATTCCAGCTTCTCTTCTTGTTTCACTTTTTTTAACGATCACTATGTATCTTTTCTAAAGCACTATGTATCTTTTCTAAAGCTTTTTCTAAACAGTGAGTCTTAATTTGCTTCTATAGCTGAAATTGCATTTGTATGTGCCTCCCATCTGGTATCTGATAAGCATTTTATCAGAAGTGACTTTGATAAAATCTGTTTGAGGCAGGGGAAAAGTGTACTGTTTGTTGTAAGTAGCAATGAAATTGACAGCATCTAAGCAGCAATCCATGCAGCCTTAACTAGAACTTAGATTAATAATAATAATAATATAATAAGACATACAGTATTTTGACACAAATTTAAAATTTATCTAATTGTTCTTTAATGAAAACAAACAAATAAATAAATTTAATACTTGTTTTTTATTCATTTTTGTCGTCATTGAAAATTTCTGCAAATTATTAAAATAAATATCATGGTTTAAATTGTATGAATTAAAAATATTTTAAAATATTATTACTTTTTATGACTAAAGAAAACATAATATTATAGATCTAAATGTGTTTTGTGAATAAAAAGCATTTTCAAATATAGTCAGTATGGTTTTTTTTCAATTTTTAAGTGAAATAAAATAATTCAACTATTTATTAAAATTTTATTTAACTTTTTAAATGAATTTTATAAATTTTTCTTTTTACTATAGAAATAAATAAATTTCAACTTGTACTGTACTTATTACTTATCAAATAAAAACTGATAATTAATATTTTAGTTCAGTGCACTTAAAACATTGTTAAAAATTTTTTAATATCAATATTTCTTTAAATATACATTAAGTCTTAAACATTATAGTGAAGAAGCAGAAAGAATATGGAAAAGCAGAGAAGATGAGTGGAATAAAGACAGAGAAGCTAGGGAGAGTATAATGAATAAAGTAATTTAGCAAAATTTTTGTTATGATAATTAAGTTATTATATTTGTGTAATTTTTTGTTCTTTTAATATAGATTTTAAAAGAATTGATGTGTAAAATTCAAGAGGCAATCAAAAAGAATATAACAAGGCAAAAAGAGAAATTACAGAAAACAGATCTCTTGATGAAGGAATTAATAAATGTTAGAAATAAAGTAAAAGAAGAAAAACAAATTGTCAATATAAGTCAGTTTCAAAAAGAGTTAGAAACTCAGGTATGAGAGAGCATTACTGTTTCTGAATCATATTTATACTGTTTAAATATTACATTTAAATTTTTCTGTTATTACTTTTAATAACAATCTGTAATTGATTTTTCAATTACAGATTGGACTTTAATAAGAAGTCCAATCTGTAATTAAAAAATTAATGTTAATTTCAACCATAGTATCTTCATTTATTATAAGAAAATATTTGAAATTATTAAGAAATCATTGTTATAATATAAATTGTAGTGTTTTTATTTTACACTGTTGAGTTTTTTATTATACTTTATTACATATTTATGTAATCAGTCTAAAATGAATGAATTCAACCTATAAACAAAAATGTTTTATTTGGAAAAATAAATAAATAACTAAATTTCCTGCAAATATTAAAAGAAATGTAGGTAGTGTTTAAAATGTTAGAAAAATACAAAAATAATATTTTTAAAATAACAGACTGTTTAATTAATGAGAGTCTTAGTTCAAAAAATATGTTTAAAATTTTGTTAAAAACATCAATAATTTTAATTTAATCAAATATTAAAAAAATAAAAATAATTTTGATTAGAAAGAACATAGAATTGATTACATCTTAATTTATTAACATTAATTTCATTTAATTTTGTTTGATATAAATTGGTATAATTAGATTTATTTTTTCATGAATAGATATACAGTATTTATTTATTTATTTCTAAGTTGACCAAGTAAGTCAATGTGATCAGAAAAATTTAAAGAAAGAAAATTAATAATGAAATTTTTAATGTTAATTAAATGATATTTATAATTTACTTATATAATACAATGATATTTGATTATATGAACAATAGTATTTATAAGTTAAACAATTTTTATTTTACATTTAATTCCAACATTTCAATTATCCAATTGCTTATCTTAGAAATCTTTGAAAAAAGTAAATTGTTAATTCACTTATTATAGTTGAAAAAAACTTTAAAAATAAAATTCTGATTTTGACAGTTTTCTATATCAATATTATCAGTATATTATTTTGATTAACTTATAAAATATCAATTTTTAAAAATTTATGATAATTTAAATTCAAAATTAACTTAGATTAAAGTCTTAATGAATTTGAAAATCTATATACAGTGTGATCAAAAAGTCACACAACCATATCTTCAAATAGCTATATTGTCAAATACAACATAGATACCAGATATTTTTCTCAACAGGCGGCAGCACTTGTGGTTTGTGACTCATGTTGCATGCTGACTTTAAGAAGTACAGTGTGACTGGGCTGTAGTAGATAATTGTTATCACAAGTGATAAGTTTTTTCCTCAGATCCAGTGTATATTTATTGTTGAGCAGTACACATTTCTGTTGGCTGCTACAGGATGGAGCCATTTGTCATACATTTGGTAACACCATGGCACTTCTTCCAAATTTTTCAGTGATCTATTCATTTTAACCAATTTGTGGCCCCCAAGATCATCTGATCTTACACCACTAAATTTTTTCCTATAGGGTTATCTTAAAGGAGTGGTATACCACTGTAACCCCCATACAGTTGATAAACTTAAAGTTAGCATTGTTACACAATTCAGAATGTGCCAGTGTAAACTCTACATAAAGTAGCTGCTAATCTTATGAAAAGAGTATGAGTATATATCTAGGAAAAAGATGGCCATTTTGAATACATATGTTGTAATCACCATCTTTAACATTAAACAGTATCTTAAAAGCATTACTCAGCATGTCATAATGTTAAATCATAAACAACAATGTGATTTTTATGCTGTTATATGCTACTGTACAGTACATGTTGTGTTGCACTATATATAAACATATATATACACAGTGTCCTATTTTAAATAATACATACAAATATGAGAAATTTGCATTCTACAAAAAAATGTTCCAGACAAAATTTGTACTATATCAAGGAGACCACAAGGTGGTGCTATCAGTTTTCCCACAGGCTATACTATTATTGGTAAAGCCAATATCAACTTCATCTTTTTAAATAGAAATGCCAATTTTTTTTATCACATATTTTAACTCTAAGCAAAATAATATAAAGATGTTAATCTAAAATTTTTTCTTAAAATATAATTATCTGATTGTTTTGAAGTTATGAGCTGATGCTTAGCACCTTGTCTGGTACAGTCAAATATTTTTGAAATTTAGTATTAGATGGAACAAAATTTAGAAAATTTGCTTAGAATATGAGGATTTATGTACAGGCTTTTCAACGATGGCACTTGTCTAGGTAATTCAAAGTCTTCTTCAACTTTGTTCATAGTAAAAAGTTCCTATGAAAAAAGTTGAAAAAGACTTTGAATTACCTATAAAATATATATATGTATATTGACTTTAATAGTGTTAGAGCCAAACCATGTTATTCAGGGGTTCCCTGTAGTTATAAAATAACACATTAGTTTTTATATTGAAATTTAGTTTTTACATATCTGTATAGTTCTATATGCATATATTGTGACCAACAGTTATAGTTCATGTATTATGACATGCATTATGTAGTTTCAAAACAATTTTTAGTTAAGTCTATAACGTTTTTTTTTTTTTTTTTGTATTTATTTAGATCTTCTCACTAATATCTGGACTAGGGCTGGCTGGTGGGTGGGGCAAACAGTGTGACCACACAAGGCCCCATGATCCTGCATGATTCAACTCTTGTGAAATTAAAAAAATTGATCATTTCATTATTTGCCAAGTTAACTAACTTTTGCTAATCTATTTAATGGTGGTATTTTTACCATTAAAATATTATTTTGTTGTTTGAAACTGCTATTTTTTTTTATTAAAAGGTCCAGTACCTTGCACCAGGCCTCGCTATTTCTCAGCCAGCTCTGATCTGGACATTATGATTTAGAAACAATATTTTCTGGAAAATAATAGCAAATGCTATAATCTTTATTCTTTTATAATAATTTTTAATCTTTGTAATATGCTGTAAAATGCTTTTCACCAGTTTTTTGTATATGATACATCTAAAATTTTATGTCATCACCTCTGCTGTAAAATTAAAACTCCCCTCATATACTAGTATGGTCTACCAGTACCCCAGCGTGGGATCACAACTCTAGTAGTAGCTAGTTCAGGTGTATTGGAATTCATTGTTACATTCACCCATAATAACCATCTCTTAATCCAAGCCTGATAAAAGGCCATTGCTAAAAATTGCTATATCCTCTATTGAGACATGAATTACCTAGAATGGAAGAGTCATTATCCTAATCACATTACCTTAACCTGAGCCTGTATAATCAGGCAAACAACTGGAAGGCAAGAGATGAGAAGGCAAATGAGAGAGTAGAAATCCTCCTCTCCTCATCCACCCTAACCAAAACTGTGATATCAAGAGCAGCTTGATGATAGTATTTATGAAAATTACTGTAGCCCAACTAAAAGTCTTGAGCCAAGGGAGTCTGTTCTCCAAAGCACAATCTAACATACCTCATGAAATATGTACTGTACCACTGCCACTACTAGGACAATCAGAATGGATGATATTTGAGGCAGTCCAAATTGTGCCACAAAACAGTCCAATAGATTGGAGATAGATATGAGGAGTGTGAGAGCCACATCTGTAAACAAATGTTCCCTCAGCTCATGTAATGCAGAGATGATGTGTTGAACAGGTACCTCAACTCAGCAAAGTGAGCTATTTAGAACTTCTAATGCCTGACTACCTTTCAAATGAAGATGCTTGAAATGATGCTAGGACCCAGTTGATGCAACAAATCAGCACTATATATAGAGAGAACTAAGCTGTCAACCAAGCCAGTGTACATGGACTGTAACCCTCCCATTCCAATTTCTTTATTAACACTTGATGTGTCATATGTGCTCATGAAATCTAGGGCCAATAAAATAGTCCAATACTTTTAGCCTGGGTCATTGCAATCCACCAATGTCCATTCCCTGTCATGGAAGGAAAGCTTGTTGTATTAGTTAGACAATGTTCAAAAGAACATTACTGATTTGTATATTGCATATACTTAGAAGGAAAAAGGTTTTGCTTAACTTGTATCTTCACAACTTCAATTTACAAAGAAATAGAAAATTATTCAAGATTTAAATATGACTAAAATATTTAATTAGTGAGATGAAATTCCATTCATTATTCAAATCTTATCATGAAATTTTGGAAGCTCTAGTTGGGAAGTATTGAGATGGCAGGTAGATTTAACATAATTCAACTCCTAAAATACTCAAAATGACTGAAAGAAAATGGAAAATAATGTAACTAACTAAATACAGGGTATCCACTTAATCTATTTAGGGATAAATTAGATCTTTCCAACATAGGTTAGGTTTATACTGTGGTAGACTGAAATACACTGGCTATTACATCACCATGGCATACACCATTCCACTGCTATCTGCAATCAACACAATATGCAGAGAATGTACACATTTGAGTGGTGCAACAATATGTTAAATTTTCAGCATGACAAATCACAACTTCGGCACATTTTATGGACTGACATGGCACTGTTTTACCAGAATGAAATGTATAACCATCACAATGTGCACCACTGGGCAGAACATTCTCCACAATGCATGTGACTTATGTAACATCCAAGTGCATTTTATCCTAAGCATCTGGCATGGAGTTTGGATTCAGAAGCTTCTTAGGCCCATATTCATTGATGGTACCCTGAATAGTGACTGATATCTGAACATCTTAATATAAGACAACACAGCCCAGTTCCATAGCCACCACATTTTACCTACTTCCCTAAAGGTAAAAATATTCAGTATCAGCAATAGTAACAATAGTAATTATTCAGTATTTGGTATTCAGCCAAAAATACCTACTTGGTCCATCTCTAGTGTCAATCAAGGTATTTGAAACTTTTTGGGAAATGGCTATCAGGAACTATTATTCCAAAATGGATCATTCTCTAAGAAATATATAAAAATATCAGGAACCATGAGTTACAAATTCCTGGTTTATGTATTGCACAGTCTTTAAATGCCAATGAGTATATCTCATCCTGTACAAATATTTATAATTATATCTAATCCATAGTTTTTAAACAAAAATATGACGTTTATGTAAAATTGTATTAAATGTAAATAATTAAATCATTGATCCAGCATTAGTAATTATTAAATGGCTAAGCTATTACATCATGCTATATAAATGATTCCATTTATTAAAATCTATAATAATTAACTATTATAAAATATTGCTCAGCATTTATTTAACATCAATTATTTTAATTCTTTTTATTTAATAAACTTTTTCATAGACTGTGAAATGTATTGTAATAGAATATTGATACATGAATAGTAATATTAAATCAAAATAATATTAAATTAATGGAATCTTATAGTTTATTATTGAAATTTATGAAAATTATTTTATATTACCACCCTTTGTTATATCACATATGTCAAGAGACAAATTGAATAAGTATTACATCAGATGGCACAATATAACTAATGTATCTAGCCACCTGTTTTGTCTGTTTTTGATCTCCATGCCAACTTAATTTTTTGTGGGTTATATTTCATATAATGGTAGTTTCAAGTCAATGATTGAAATAACATAATGTTTCTTTGCTGGTAGAAATTATATCAATCAATTTATTTTTGTAATTATTGGCTAAAGTGCTTTTATATTTGGAAGACAAAAAATAAAAAATGCAATATATCTAAATGAGCACTATAACAAGAGGCTATANTTTTTATTATTTTTTTTGTTCAAATGAACTAAATCTTAAATGCCTTAATTAAAAATATATATATAAAGCTTAAAGATAATGTTTTTGTTATAGGAGACAGTAAGAAAAAAAAAAAAAATGTAGACACACTGTAACTTCTCTGTACTCGAGAAGACCAAGAATAGTGGCTTAATTTAGGCACGTCATCGAGAATTCCTAGAAAGCGGCATTAGGCGAGTAGCTAGTCCCATTCTGTACAGTTTTGTGTGTGTGTGTGTGTCTAGACCTATATCACTTATGACCGACATCTGCTGCCAACATCTCCATCTTCGATAAGAAAAGCGAATACTTTACCATCTTTCTTATTTTTGTAGCCGTAGTCTCATCTTCAATTTTCCCATCCAAATCGAAAAGTATGTGTGATCAACTCGAATTTTTCTCATTTGCAAACGCGATCGCTTACCACAGGGAATTGATAGAAGCGCGTGGGGAAATTAACGAAGAGTAAACGTTCCTACCTTGTCAAAAATTGTCACCCGAACGGGAGAATCGTCAGCTTCTCTCGGATAAATCGTAGTTTAAGGGGTTAAAAAAAAAAAAAAAAGAAAGGAAAAAAAAAAAAGGGAGAGAGAACGAGGGCGAAAAATCCGCGTAATGAAGGAGTGGCGTGGAATTGGCATTGTGTTTGAAGTGGCGGCTGGTCAAAGAGTGTGTGCAGTGGAGCAGACCATCAATTTACTTGTCCTCCCAAAACCTGTTGCGGTCTTGTACCTCTGACGTGTGTGTACGCCTAATACTTAATTGTGAAAATCGTTAATTATACATTATTCGGTTTTGAATAAACTCCACGTTTACCTTTTCTACACTGTTTAACTATCAACAACTAAAGTTATCGCTCGTTTAATTATCCTTTTATATATGATTTTTCTCTTTTGTTTGTTTTTATAACAGACTCAGTTTGTACTCATTTAATGAATAAAATAGTAAATATTTAACGTATTAATAAATTTTATTAAATGGGATTTACTTGAAAATAAAATTCGGAGTTTTTCACGGGCCTTTAAATACTTTTTTGTAAAGATAAAATACCCTTAAAAATAACAATTTTGAAATGTTAATTAGTTTAAAATTAGAAATTTCTAAACAATTATTATTACTTTCTTTTGTTTAAATATTTGATTGATACTTTCATTCTTATTAAATTTTGCCATTATAAAAGTAAAATGAAAAAAAAAAAATCTATTAAAAACTTCTAACTTAAAAAAAAATAAAATAAAATAGGCGAAGAAGTATGAAAATTGAAATTTGTTTGAAGGATTTTTCGAAATTCTGAAGAAAATTGTTTTTAAATCTCTTACAGAATAAGTTTTCATATAACGTTGATTTATCTCTACTATTTTCTGAGTAGTAATAATTAAAATAGAAGAAACGTGTCATTTAAGAAGAGAAAGAACAAATCTCAAAGTTACGTTAGTATATAATTCAATAAGTATCTCTCTCTCGTTTTTTTATTTTTTTTTTTATTTTTAACTCAACTAGNAAAATTAAATGATTAATAGTAAATATTAATTTAAGTATAAAATGTATAAATAAATTTCTGGAACATGATCTTGTTGAAAAGGATTTTTATGGTTTTAAAAAATGGTAGGTAAAAAACTAAGGAAGTTTCTTTAATCTTATTTGGATCTATCTTATAAATGTTTACTAATTATAATTATTTATATTTTCAACTTAGAGTAGTATTTATTTTAGAGAGTTTTATACCATTTACAGCTGTTGTTAAAAGTTAAAGAAAGATAATGAAGATCTGCATTCAGAATGAAATATGCAATTGTCAGTTGTGTTAATCCTTAAAATTCCTAGCTCCTGGAAATTTCTGATCTCACTGTCGTAATTTTATCGATTTCTAGACAATCAAATGAATCACTCTTTATTTTATTCTTTCTCACAAATGTTTCTATAGTGATAATCATCTTTCATTGATTGTTAGGTATGGGACATACATTAGTTAGGTTAGAAACATCATCTGCAATTTTTGTATAAATTCTTTAGAAAAATGTTTGCCAATATCTTGTATAACAAATTAAATAATAATTCCACATATTTTTAATGATAAAATTTCGAAATAATTAATGTTTAAAGACATTGAGATAATTAAAAATAGGTTATAGAAGATAGAAATTATTTCGTACTGTCGTTACAAGAAATTAAAAAAAGGTTTGTAAATTCGGAAGAAGTGTATAAGTTGCAGCCAAAAAGTTTGTTTTTTGGAATTAAAAGTAGAGAAATCCTTCGATATTTTAATGATTAGTAGAGGAAACGGGCTATTTAATTACCAACATCGGTCAAGAAGCAGGCAGGTGGGAGCAATTTATAATCGAACTCATTCGTTAGACAAAGTATTAAGAGAGATGACTGTTTGACATACGCCATTGCCATTTAACGTAGGGAAAGCCGGCGTCATTCCGCAATTGCGCCAGAGCCAGACTAAAAACAAAAGCAAAAGAAAGAAAGAAAAAAAAACAACTCCGACGGGCTTAAGACTGCCAAGATAAATTGAACTTTATGACTCCTGGGATGACAGCATGTCATTACATCTACATATTTACGGGTTGTAAGCAATGCGGAGGTGCTGCGCATTTTATTACCCAGGGAAGTGTCATAAGCAAGAAGTGACTGGGTCCACTCATAATCCCCGGGATTGCCAGTCAATTCCTCGGGGACCCAACTTCGTTTCGACTCTTCCTTACCAACGCCGTATGCGCATTAGACCGCGGTTTTGGGCATTTGATTTACGGCTTAACCTTGATGAAGATTTGTGAATTACTTAGCTCGGGCCGGAAGTCGTCGTCGACAACTAAACGTAGAAAAGAAGATAATTTTCGCGCCAAATGGAAAGAACTCGTTTAGAGTCGGACCGAATTTGGATAGAGTTTCCCGTAGGTTTTCAAGAGTGCAGACATCAGAACGGAAAGAGACGCCGGCCGTAAATCCCAGTTCTAACCACGACGGTAATCCAAGATATCTGGATGGCGCAGTCGACCGTGCGTGCGTGGAGGGGAGATTGGTGTCAGCATCGGTCCGTCCTTCCCCTCTTTATCTTCCCTCCCTAGAGAACTCTCCTGCATATAAATAACATCATTACAGGCTACCCCGACCAGCTGGTCATGACTTGAAGGGAAGAGGAGGAGTGGTGGAGATAATAGCGCTCGAAACTGGGAGGTGTAAAGACAAAATCCTCCCGTCGATTGGACTTTTTTTTTCTTTTCTTCCGAGTGTATGCCGGGGGAGGGGGCTCTATTTTGCAGTGATTTCCGACATCCCGAGACGTTTAATAGCCTACGTCACCTAACCACCCGCGGCTCGAAAGGTCAGAGGGTCGGGGTCACGGGTTTTAACGTTGTTGTTAAAATATATATATATATATATATATATATATTGCACTTCACCTCTAAGCTTGTGTGTAGTGCGGGATAGTCCACAATGGGAGAGTTGTAATTTTTAAAAGAGAATTTGTCAAACGGAATAGAATTGTCATTCGGGAGAATCTGTTGTTACTGGTGATCGATATTTGTCGCCTCGTTTTAACCTCGCGTCAAAATAATTGTCCTTTTAATGAACTAAAGAATGCTTCGGAACTGCTGCTTATTTTCTGTTTTAACCTTCGCTGGCGCATTGCATCCAGAAGAAATTGTCTTTTTTTTCTTTTAGTTTTCCTTCGACCTGTTGTTTATTAAAACTGTTGCGTTTCAGAAGTCGAGCATCACGATATTCATCTTAGTTTAAAAATGACCAGAGAGAGAGAGAGACCGAGAATGTACACGTGGTTGGGGGAGTGGCGTAGACGTGACCGGCCGGGAGGCGTAGAAGAGGGAAAGAAGAAGGCAGTGATCGAGGTCAGACGCAATTTTCTCTTTTCTACGCTTCGACTATGCTTGGGGGACGGACGAAAGGAAAATGACGTGTCAAAAGAAATTTATGGGTCGAGTAAAGAAAAAAAAGCGCCAGTAATGGAATGCGGCACCCTCGAACCCACCTGAGTGTACCTGGATGCCAAAAGAAGGGTTTTTCTACATTTTTTTTAATATTCTCTTTTCAGATCGAAAATCGTCTATCGAAATATGAAGAGGAAAAACGACAGATCGAAGAGGAAGTAGCAAGAATTAAGCTGCTGGAAGTACAGGAACAAGCTTTCCTGGAAGAAGAAGGATGATGGATGTCGATTCTAACACTCTCATCCCTCAGGTGTGAAGAAATGCCTTTCAATTATATTTTCGAAATGCCTCTTTTAAATAAATCTCCAGTAGTGTTTCGTCTCTGTGACGTTTAATAGATTAGGTTTTGTGATCTTAACGAGAAACGACTGCGCCTGATAATTTACGATTTTCGAATTTCTACCAGGCCACTAAAGTTGAGTTAAAGTTTAACGTCGGTTTCGATGGAATGGAAAGTGAGTCAACCGCCGTTCCGTTTCTAGATTTGGTTCCAAACTCGTGGTCCAGATAAATGACGTAGACTAGTTGATTACCAAGTCTGGGCCGCTCCACCGCCTCTTCTAGCGGTGATTACGGCGGGTTCGGTATGTAACCCAGGGGAGGAATCCCCGGCACGAGATCTTGACCGCACAATCATAAGTCAGGCGTCGTTGATTAGAGTTGCGAGTTTATAGGGGGCCCGACGAGACCACCTACAGCTCCCCCACGGCCAGTAAAACGGGATGGGACGGTCTTGTTGCTCCCGCATAACCGGGCGAGGCGGAGTCTGGCCGTCGCTTCTCTATTGGACTAAAGTTGGCGTGACGTCACCGGGACCCCACGCCTCATCCTACTAAAGTTGGCCACTAATTCCGACTTGCCAATGTCATTCCCAACCCTTTGCTGCCAAATGACTCGTGCAATTGAATTGGTGCCGGTCGCGATTGGCAATTAAGACTCATCGACTGGGTAAAGAGCGGCATGCCTCCTCTTCCCGCCTAAACTCTATTAAGGCCGCGCAAATAGGGAAAAAAACGCATTTTTCATTATTTTTTTTCCAGTTCGGAATTCCGGGCAAACCGGAACCCGTGTCGTATCGGGTTTATAAGACACTCCCGGCCGTGGGTAAATGATAGGTTGGGTCCCGGTTGCGGCCTCATACATCACGGGCCCTCCCGAATCTCTCCCCCCATCGAAACGGCACAATAGGGAGGCTTTGTCTTTGGACCGACAAGTCCGCCAGCCATGCCGAGAGTGTGGGAAAAGGAGAGGAGAGAGCCGTCCACCCCGCTTTCCGCATTGGCCGTATCCTCGCCCGAAAAACACTCATTTACTGCCGTAATTACAAGCGGTGCGTCATTACTTTGACCAAACTGCGAACAGCCAATCTATCGTTAACGTTGTTTCTAATCCCTTCTGTTGTTGTTCCGTTTCAGCACCAGCCTGGACGCCATCCACGTCCGACACGGTAGGAACCGACGCTCATTTCCAGGCCGAGCGCGATAATTAAGAAATTAAGACAGTTAATTGGGAATGTTACAGTTCCCTCATTAACACTGATAATTAGCGGCACTCCCGGGAACTTGTCCTTAATGAGGTGTCAAGCGAAGAACTCCGACTCGAAGAGATACGCACTTTTTATCTTTTTATTTAAGCTCGCTCTTTGCTTTTTCGTTTTGTCGTCACTCAAAGAACTTATATGTAATCTCTCTCACAGACAATAAAAGAGTCTCAGACAACTGCGGCCTTTTCTCTTTTCTAAAAGTACTCGACTTAGTTCGTGCCACTCCGTTTCGGTCGGTGTCCGCTCCGGGAAACTACTTTTTTCTCCCTCCTGTGTTTCTTTCGTGGGTCGCCAGATGGCACGAGTTGCCATCCCCGTTTACTAGTACCACACTATCAAATAACAATTACTCGAATGAAAACGGAAATAAATATTAACAGACTCCCTTCGTCGAGGTGTAGCGACTCCGGAGAAAAAGAAGAAAATTGTTTAGAGATGTTGTTATTTTTGTATCCTCGAACTAATAAATGTCTTTAAAGGGGGGAGGAGCAAAGAGCGTAATGAATAAGGTGTCGTCGGACGGAGCGGTAATAAATAAGTTTTCAAAAAAGTATCGGGAGATGACAAAATATATGATTATTCATCCAGAGACAAAATCCAAGAATTCCCTTTGGAAATTTCTCGACAATTCGCTGACAATTTTCTATCAGTGGACAGACGCATCGAGCACAATAGGTGGTCCAAACACAATTTGCCACGGCATAACGAGAAATCACGGCGAAATTGCCTATATGCCCCGAGGGATAGCCGGAGGTAGGCAAACTGACGGATACCGTTCAACATGCAAATCTCCTGTTTACTTCGACGACAGGTAATACTTGTCTCGCACTCCAGGGTTTGGACTTTCCTGTCAGACGACTCGGCCGGGTAGGTAGACGCCATTTACAGGATCCGACTCTCTTAGGAACCCGACATCCTTTATAATACTGAATAGACAAACGGGCCATCGAGCCGCCGAGCGGCCTTGTTTATCGTGAGGAAACGTTAAAATTTAATAAACCGAGAAAGGGAGGACGATGCCGAGACGATTCTTTTCTTCTTCATCTTCCCCGTCTTTTCGTAACGAGCGGGACAAGTTTCGTAGAACGGCGTTAAAGGATGGCTTCTGGGAACTCTATTATCTAGCGGAACAGAGCCGTATTTGTTCAAAGGTGATCACTTAGAAATTGCAGTCGTTCGTAAATATTATTCGGTCGGTGTTCACATCGGAGGAGGGGGAAAAAAAAGTGGGGTCGTGCGTTTTCTACTCCCCGAACCACCGGTCAATATTTGACTAAAACAGAAGAAGGGACGTTGCCGGGAATGTTTGCTCGATCGTATCGCATATCCCAGGACACGGCATTTTAGATGTCCCGAGCCATCGATCATGTCCTTGCCAAGGTAAACAGCTAGGGTGACTTGTAATTTCCCGTCAAATCGGCACATTGCTTCCCCTATCGCTTTGACGAATGACGGGCGTTTAGACGAAGGTGGCGCGCACGATTACGTTTATCAGTCCTTCCCATAGTGTCGCCGTAAAATAAGAGTGGGGAATGTGGTCCTTTCCCGCTGCCAGGAAATGGATGAAGTAAGAGAATGTCACTTCGGGTTCATCCGCACTTAAAGCCAGTTACTGGAAGAAATTTTTTTTTTTTTTTTTTTTTCCCATTAAAAACCCAGACCGTAATTAAAAGTGCCAGAACCACTTAGCGCTTAAGAGTTTTCCGCATAGTTTACGTAATTCCTTCTCCAGGTGCGCTGGTCCTTTTAATTAAGGTGTGTCGGTGAGATCCCGCTACGGTTTCGGTTCCAATCCCCCGTCGAAAATCCCGCAAACCAGTGTGGGACTTTGTGTGTAGGCGAGCGAAGAGCAACAGGAGCGTCGTCCAATGCGGACAAAATCCCAATAATTCCTTTTTCCGTCCTCCACTTTGGCGATAGAAGTAGGACAAAGACATTCTCCTACACAATCCAATCAGCGATTCAATTTATACAGAGAGAAATCTATTTACTTCCCAATCCGCGACGTGTTTCTGTATCATTTACCTCCCGCTGACGGTCCTCCTTTTTCCCTCCATCCCCGTTGTCATGACGACGAAAATCACCCGCGCAGTATTTTCCCTTTTTATATATTTATTTTATTTTTTTTTTTCTTTCATATTTTTCCTGCAAAGAATCTTCTAATCAGTCGAGAACTTTCGATAGAAATGCGGGTCGTTCGGTTTCTAGTTTATTTCGACCGTCTTAAACGCTATCCGCCTTACACAAAAAGTTCCATTTCGTTTAATGCCTATCCCACTACTTATTTAGGATATAAAACCAGAAAACTTAAAAGTGCCGTTCGTAAATTGCTAAAAAAAAAAGAAAATAAAAAATAAACCTAACCATCTCCGTGTTTTCAGAATATTAATTTTGAATTTAGAAGAAATCGAGGGTTTGTTTAATGGGTATTACTTTCAATATAGATCTATTTGTCCGTGTTGCCATCAGAATTGCCAATGGTCAACATTGAACTAGTATCGTCGAGGTCTCTCTCTCACTCTAGAGAATAGTCTATCTGGCAACCACGCCCTTAATGAGTTCCCATAGGATTTGTCTATATACCATATGTTACCTCTCTAGCATCCACTTCTCTTTTCCATAGTTGCCTTTTGATCTCGGATCAGTTTGTTTTTTACATTGTTTTCCAGTCGGAATCTTTATTTAAATCTATTATTTTAATCAAATTTTAAGGATAAAATAAAGTTATAGGGTCGTATTTGGTATCGGAAGAATTCCATACGCCGCTTTGAAAGTATTCGATGCGAAGGCTCGCGAAGAGTCCCGTTTATCACCTTTAAAAAGTGTCTCCCGTTCTCTTCAGTTTCGTTTAGCAAACTAAAACAATGGAAAGCAAACTTCTAATTATCTCCTCTAGCAACTCTCTCCCCCCTTAACACTTTATGAATAGATTAGATTGACAATTAAACGTTTTCGTACAAAAATCTACAATAGCAATCTTGAGATGACGTCACCACCGGCCTAATTCCTGATAAGATTACCGTGCTCTCCCCTCGCATTTTCAGGTAGACGGCCTGACTGGGTCTCTGACTCATCGATCCCTTCGAGCCCCCTCCGTCGTGACGTCATACCGATGAGTATATTGTTGGATTATCCAGTCGAGCAGATCCGTTGTTCGGTTGCCGATGTTCTAGTACCTGTTCTTGTTCTGCGGTGGGGTAACGTTTGCCCGGCTCTCCGACTCGTAATTGCTTGGGTGGTTGTACCTGTCCCAATATATCTGTCAGACGCCACCGTATATCTGTCGTTCCGGATTGTGGTTACTTACCTTGGGGTCACATCAAACTTTTTCGATTCCGTAAGAATATTCGATTTATGATTATTCCGATTGCTAGACGAGGGGATAAAAAACAAAAAAAAAAAAAGCGCCTTCGTACTTTAGAGGGATGTAAAAATGCCCGTTGCCCCCACCCATCCACCCAATCTAGACGTTTCTTATAAATTTTTTTATTATTATTATTTTTTTTTTCTTTCTGGTGAAAGGCGGCTAATCGCCATCTTGGTTCGGCGACGTTGACCTTTCGTCTCGGATGCGCTCTTCATTGGCGTCATCAAGTTTCCTACCGAGGCTATCAAAATGTCATTTAGGTGCACGTGCTGGTGACAATAGCCGAAAGAAGTCGCTAATACGACGGGCGTCGAGATGGAAGCGAACAATGCCGACTTCTATTAGGGTCATTACGATTCTCGGTAAAGATGGTGTGTGTTTCTTGCATTTGACGTATTTTAATAAAGCTTAATTATCGGTCCAAAGCGCGATTGTAGTTATTCTGATTGCCTCATTTTTGCCGCCGTTGCATATTATCCCGTGTCCACCGGGCGTCTCTTTTCCAATCATTTCTGCCGATAAACTCATCATTCTCCCGGAAAACTAATGACTGCGCATGTACTATTCTCTCTTATCGTCATATTAATGAAGTGAGGGCCAAGCCTTCTATCGGGAGTCGCATCTCGGCGCGTGCAACCAATGCCAGGATAGTAATCGATAGCGTCACTTCCGATTGCCGTCACATTGGACGACGTTCTGTTCTGCAAATTCAAACCTAAATTTTCGACGGTCGAAAGAAACGCGGATCCATTTTTACCTCGCGCCCCAAATTCGCGTTTTCAGAAACAAAGAGGGTCCGTTTCTCCCTCCGAGTTTAGGCTACTATAAAATTGTTAATGACACCGTTTTCCGTTTCCTGTCTTCACGTCCGTTCTCTAGATAATTGCCGCGATTTTTTTATTTTTCCTCTGTTAGGAAGATCCTAAGAATAGTAATTCTTTGGTCCGGTCATAAATCAGCGAATAGCAACAAGGATAGCAAACGTGTTTCATCCCGAGGGATGTTTCGGTCCGGACGTAGATCGGATGTTAACGACTTTTGTGTGTTGGAGGAAGAGTTTTATGGAACCTGGGAGCGTGGGTTTGCCAGTCGAGATNAAAGAATATTTAATTTTGATATTATTTTAAGTATTTTCCATTAATGCTTTATAAGTTATTAAATAATAACATTAATATCTATGAATATTTCAATCATCTGAAATAAGTTAAATATTTCAAATGTAAGTAATAAGAAAAAAATATTACGTATGTACTAAAAAAATTGCGATACAAGTATAGAGATGCCAATTCTTTGTTTTTTAAAGTATTACAGATTACAATAGCTGTTGATAATGTTATAAGGTCAAACTACATATGCAAGATAGAAAAATGGCAACTTTCAGGTGATATATAAATATATTCTATCAGTTAGGTTAATTCAACCCAACAATTTCTAACAAATTCTAATTTTTTATGCAATTTTAACATTGAAAACATAGCTTATAACAAATATTTGTCTAGTTTGCTATGACCAATCATTAGAATCTTTCATCTAACAGATGACAGATTCTAATGATTGGTCTTAAGATTTTATAAACATCTCTAAGAAATCAGATAAACTAAATTTATAGTTGACAATATATTTCATTTCAAGAATTTTTGAAAGCCCGTTATATTCATTTTTACTATACATTTTCTGAACATTATTTATGTGAAACAGAAACTTGTGAACTGAAGATTTAAAAGTCAAAAAATAACTTTAAATGTTTTGAAAAAACAAAAATTTATTTAAGGAATTAACAAATGTATAAAAACAAAGGATTATACTATACTGTATAATTATTTGTTTTAATTTACTAATAAATATTTTATGACACTTTCCATGAATGATATTTTTGTAAG